GTGGGATAATCAGTTTTACCCTCTGTTGTCACACAGGTGGGCTGAGAACAGTGTCAGGACTGGAGAGCTGGTGCTTCCCAGTCTCAACTCCCTGGCTGTGAAAACCAGGAGCCATCCTGTGTTGGGCCACAGCTCCGTTCCACTGGCTGACTCCATGTGGGGAGAGTCCCTCTGTCAAAACCTGGAGGTGAAGGGAGCGAAACGTGCTCGGATTTTGTTGTGGTGGGGAGCTGGCGTGGGCTGGTGCAAATCCAGAGCAAAGAAGTGCTTTGGCACCTTCGTGGTAGGTGTGGCTGCCACTGAAGTGAGACCTGGCTGGGATTTGAGCTCTGGACTCTTCTATCCATGAAGATTTGTCATTATTACAAGGGCATGCAGTGACAGGACATGGGGCAATGGCTTTAAACTGAAAGAGGGGAGATTTAGTTGAGATCCAAGGAGGAAATTGTTCCCTCAGAGGGTGGTGAGGCACTGGCACAGGTTGCCCAGAGAAGTTGTGGCTGCCCCACATCCCTGGAATTGTTCAAAGCCAGGTTGGATGAGGCTTTGAGCAACCTGGTGTAGTGGAGGGTGTCCCTGCCCATGGCAGTGGGATTGGAACTGGATGATCTTTGAGGTCCCTTCCAACCCAAACCATTCCGTGATTCTACGATTCTATTAACAGGAGAAAATCCATCCCTTTTTGGCACCTATGAAAAATTACTCATTTCTTAGTCTTGTAGGCATCTTGCCCTAAATGTTTCCCTCAGTTCAACAGATTGTTTTATCAAAAAATAATTATTTGTAAGTAAATTCGTTTTTCTCTCATTGAGATGATACCATGGGGATGTTGGGATCTTCCTGAATCCTGGGTGTGATGAAATGCAGCTGGAGGCATAGGAACAGGGGCCAAGCCTGAGCTCTGGCCCTTCAGGTTTGCCACGTCCCTATGGGGCACACAAAATTTGTCCGTTTTAAATATATATACACCAGTGTGACAGCACAGGGGTGGCACAGAAATGTATCCTGCTGGTGTAATAACTTTCTGCTTACGGTTTTCCTCACGTTGCTGCTAGGGTAAAAGGTGGTAATACTGTTTGTAATTGCTCAAATGCAGGCAAGGCTTTGGCTTTACCTTTCTGAGCCACGGTAATTAGTTTTTCCTCTGGGAATGGGTAAGTGGAAGTTGCTAGTGAAGTATGGAATAACATATGTAACATGTTTAAAGTAAGTGTAGGATTTGGGTTTGTCTTTAAATTGGGATTAGATCATAGAATCACGGAATGGTTGGGGTTGGAAGGGACCTCAAAGATCATCCAGTTCCAACCCCCCTGCCATGGGCAGGGACACCTTCCACTACACCAAGTTGCCCAAAGCCTCATCCAACCTGGCCTTGAATACTTCCAGGGATGGGGCAGCCGCAGCTTCTCTGGGAAACCTGTTCCAGTGCCTCGCCACCCTCAGAGGGAAGAATTTCTTCCTTAGATCCCATCGAAATCTCCAGTCTTTCAGTTCAAAGCCATTGCCCCTTGTCCTGTCACTAGATGTCATGCTGCAGGATCAGTGGCAGTGAATTTTCTTGAACCTGAAGCCTTCAGCGTAGTTTTCTGGCATAGATCTTGCTGTAGGATCAGACCATTAGGAAACAAATCCTGTTTCTTGCAACATCTGAAACATCTTACCACGTCCACAGTCAGCAAATCGTCATGAAACTGCAGAAATGTCAATGTCTTACATATTTACTCTTGGGTTTTGCTACAAAACGTTAAAGTTTGGAGCCCCCGGCATTTCCCCCGTTGATTAGGACTCGCTGAAACATATTTTGTCACGTTTGATGACTCCTGTGACACTTGGCAGCTTTAAAACATGATGTTTGACAGGAGCCCAGGGCCTTCTGCTCCTGCTCTTTGTTTAAACAAGGGCAAAGGTGCCAATAAATATTGGCACAGCTGTGAAAATCGGATTTTATTGTGGTAAGGTTTGAAAGGTGGGCACTCTCGCCTGCTCCTTGCGACACAACATACAGTTACTGGAGAAATCAGTGGGATTAGCATGGTTCAAACTGGGTGTTTGTCAACAGAGATGAGAACACCTCTGTTTCTAAAGGATTTTGGAGCTTTGGCAGGTTTTGGTGGAATCTGTTCCTCTTCCAGTTCACCTGCTGATTCTTGGCCAAGCCTGGCCACACGCGTGAGGGTTTTCTAGAACCAGCCTCACCAGTTTCACCTCCTTTCTCCAAGTTATTCCACAACATCAGATGGGAGCAGTAGTCTCCAGGTTTGATCCGAAAATGGAGGGTGCCCTTTCAGACGGGCTCGTCCGTGTGGTAACTCCTAGAAGTGGTGAGTGGTGCTTTAGCAGCCGCCTGGGCGCAAGGAACCACAGAATCAGGTGTTAGTAAACAGCCAGCAGAGCTCCAAGGGTTGTAGCTCTGGATCAGGTGTTAGTAAACACCCGGCAGTGCCCCAAGGGTTGTAGCTGGGGCAGGGAGCAGGAGCACGTGGATTTAATTTCCACTTTGCCTTGGCAGTTTGAAATCCCTTCCGAAAACGGAGTCATTAAAGAAAAAGTGAATTAAGTTTCACTTGCTGTTTTTTTTTTGTGCCCTCGAATTTCTCAGCTATTGATGTGGGTTTGCAACCACATCTTCTCAAAAAAAAAAAAAAAAGAAAAAAAAAAGAAAAACAATAAAAACCCAAGCAGCACTTCCCCCTCTGTGTGCAGGGCTGACTCTCCACCGCCTGGCACAGCGCTCAGCTGGCAGGAGGTCACAGCCTTTCTCCTCCCAGGGCTTTTCCAAACCCCTGTGCCACCCGCCTTTTGGATTTTTCCGAGGTGACACGTGCCACATGGGAGCGAGATGCGGTTTGTCCCCTTCTGGCTTGCCCTTGTCAGGGCTGGATGTGCCTAAAAATACCCAGGGCAACGTGATGCCAAGGCTACTGCTGTGGTTAGAGAATGTTTGGAGATTGCAGGTGGAAACAGCTTTAATTCCAAAAAGATATTTTTTTTTCCTTTTTTTTTTTAATGGAAGCAGTTTTTAATTACCACTTAGGGCACAGAGAATGTAAAAATTATCCTTTTTCTTTTTTTTAAGGCCGTTTTCAGTACACAAAAAAAAATGATTTAGAACTAAGGTTTTTAATTTTTAAATTGATGGGACTTCTTTTTTTTATTATTATTAATTTTAATGCCAAGCTTTCAAGCCACTAGCAATTAAACCCCTAGTTTAAGCCCTCAAAATGGGTTTGTAATTGAAACAGCAGTTGGCCCTCAGCTATAGCAGGGCTACACAGCTTTATTTTTTCTTTTTATCACATAAATCCTTGTCATCCCTTGTAGAGGAGAGATTATTCACATGGCTTTTTGTGTTTGTTTGGTTGTTTACGCAGTCTAGTACTATAATTATGGCTGAAAACGAGATTGGTTTGACTTACAGGATGCGACAGGTCAGCATCAGATGTATTTTTGGACTCCCTTTTAACGTAGCTGTTGAGGTTTTTTTTGGTGCATGCTCTCTAGAGACTGCAAAGGAAACTTCTAGCTGCTTTCTCCACTTCTGTCTTTCAGGGCTGCATATTGTGCTGATTTGATATCCTCAATTATAAGGAGAAACATCGTATAAATATGTATTTTCAGACTCAGCAGGAGGAAGTCGGACCCAGCAAAAAGCAACAGAGTGTACACATGCTGAAAAGGCACTTTGAAAAAAAACAAACAGAAAGTTTTGTACTTGTGTAGCTCAGAAGTTGTGTACGTTGTGTGCAAACAAGGGCATATGTGTAAGGATTTGCACGCAGGTGTTAAACAGGAGGAGCTGCCTGACCTGACCACGTCTATAGCAGAGACAAGAGAATTTACACCAGTAGTTCTTTCATCAAGCCCTGCTCTTGTAGCTGAGCTGGAGGGTGTTTTTAGAAAAGTGTTCAGTTTTGATTGGAAGATTTTAGAGAGTGGAGAATCCACCCACGGTGTTTGATAAGTCGCTCCCGTGGTTTGTTGCCCTCGCAGGGGAACTCTCAAAGAAAAACAGCTTTGTGGCGAGAGCCTTTTTGTAACGGAGCACGATGGGAAAACGGGACAAACGTTTTCTGCCTCGTGTTTGCCTTTCACTTCAGGCTTTATTTGCTAATTAAGGGGAGAAACGCTTATGCTGTAGCCTAGAAATCATAGAACGGTTTGGGTTGGAAGGGACCTCAAAGATCATCTAGTTCCAACTCCCCTGCCATGGGCAGGGACACCCTCCACTACACCAGGTTGCCCAAAGCCTCATCCAGCCTGGCCTTGAACACTTCCAGGGATGGGGCAGCCACAGCTTCTCTGGGCAACCTGTTCCAGTGCCTCACCACCCTCAGAGGGAAGAGTTTCTTCCTTATATCCAATCTAAATCTCCCCTCTTTCAGTTTAAAGTCATTGCCCCTTGTCCTATCACTACACACCCTTGTAAAAAGTCCCTCTCCAGCTTTCTTGTAGCCCCTTTAGGTACTGGGAGGCTGCTGGAAGATCACACTGGAGCCTTGAGAAACGTTACATTCAAAATAAAACTGCCGGGCTCTTTTTGAAGTGACAGTACAGTCCCACAGGCACGTGGTCAGCGTTTTCTGCAGTGGCTCTGCTGAAGGACCGCTGACGGAAAATGGCCCCAGAGGGCTGCAGGTGAGAGCCAGGCTCCTCTCCCAGGCAGCTAAAGCTCTGTGCAAGTCCTGTCGTTCAAATTTAGGCCAAGCTCTGACTGAGAGAACTTCTTGCTCTTTTGCTTCACCTGGTTAATGTTTTCCTTCCTTATCCAAATGTTCGGTTTGGTTCCTCTGTTCTAGTTCAATTAGCCACACTCTGCAGTGAGCAAGCACAGAAATATATATAAATACGTATATATTTAAAGAAGGAATTGGCAGAGATACTGTAATGCTTCAATTGTTGTTTTATTTGCAGGTCAGACATGAGATTTCCTTAGTTCCCTGGGGTTTTTTCTCTTTTTTTTTTTTTTTCCCTGAGCTTAATTGTTCCACTTACTTTTTCAGATTGACTCTTGGTGCAAAGAGAACAGCTACGTGATAGCTGGGTACTACCAGGCGAACGAGCGCGTGAAAGATGCCAGGTGTGTTGGTGCCACATTTCCTTCTGTTTGCTCTTTCGTGGGGTGCTTTGGGCTCTGCCAGCAAAAATCAGCGACACCGATCGTGTCACTTTGACAACTGTCATCTGGTTTCTCATTGTCTTGGTGGTGCTGGTGGATGTGGCCTTTGCTCAGGAGCAGAAACCCCAGGCTCTCCAGAATCGCTCCTCTTTGGTGGGTGCTATGAAAGGCCAGTCCTTGAACGACTGCCAACCAGTTTAATTACAGTTGTCAGGGAAATAGCCCAAATTTGCAGGCACTTTTGCTTGTGCAGTACATGTCTTGTAAACTCAAATGACTCCGAGTATCTTTTGGAAAGTCTTTCACAAGTGACCTAATTCTTACTAAACTCCTCAACTGTCTCTGAGTTTTACTGAAGCATTTTCTTACGTGGTAAAGAGACGCTCTTGAAGTGGAAGATGATGTCAGTTGAACAGAGAGATCTCGTTTCACTTATTTTCCCCAGGATTAGTCATTTTTTTTCCCCTGCTAGCTGACTCAAAGTACTCAATAAGCAATAAAGGGGCTTTCCTGTGGAACCACAATAGAGTTTTAGGTATCAAATTTATTTAGGCATCAAATATTTTCCCCTATTAGACGAATCCAGTATCAGGACTAACAAGAGTGCATCATACTGGCATTTAAAATATACATGAACAGTTCGTTTGAAGTATTATACTCTGTTCCAGTTATTTTGTTAATGGATACCCTTCAGTCACAAGTATGTTTTTAAGTAATACTCGTGACGGCTGAGGTATCTAACAGGCATGAAGGAATTATTTGTCCTTTCCTTACAAGGGAAATAAATCTACTGGAGGCGTTTTTAAGGAGAAGATACAGTTTGTTCTGTTTAAGGTTTGAAAGAATATCCCAGGCTTGTGGTTTTTTTTTTTTTTCTAAACTCCAATTTAATTTGTGAAGATAACAGGCACCACGTAGAGATTGTCATCTTTGAAACACGGTGAAGGTTTTCCTTTAAAAGATGATCTGATTTTGGTGGAGAAGCTGGGCAGTGAGTGGGTTCAAACGCAGGCTGGGGAGCAAACTCAGTTTCTTTTTTAAATGCCTGCCAGGGCCAAGGTGCCTGCAGTCTTTGGTCTGGTGGGAGAAGGGAGGAGGCTGCAGATGTTGATTCCACATCAAGTGTGCAGTGAACATTCCAAAACCAGTTGCCTAAGCACAGCTAAGATCCAGCTCATGTGCTGGAGAGAGGAGCTGGGGTTTTCTTGGCCTGACTTCAGTCATGCATAGCATCAGCTCGATGTCTTGTTCCTGTTTGTAAGCACGCAGTGTTATTTTCACATCTCTTTAAGCATGTTTCCTGCTGGTTTCAGCTGTCATGGTTCACCTAACACAGTTCCTTTTGCCTTCTGCTGCAGTCCGACCCAGGTTGCGGAGAAGGTGGCCTCCAGGATCGCAGAGGGCTTTAACGACACAGCACTCATCATGGTAAGTGGCTTCGTTGTTTTCCCCCAACTCTCTCTGTTGTTAACACTATGACCGTGGTGTTGGACCAGCCTTTAAGTGCCATTTTCTGGATCCTTTAACGGTGAAGCAACTCCTTTTCTCTTTCCTCCAAATGCTCTGGGGAAGAGATCATAGAATCATGGAATAATCCGGTTGGAAGAGACTCTCAAGATCGAGTCCAACCATTCACCCTGCACTGTCAGGGTCCCTAAACCATGTTCCTCAAGACCAAATCCGCATGGTTTTTAAACACCTCCAGGGATGAGGACTCCACCACCTCCCTGGGCAGCCTGTTCCAATACTTCACAACCCTCTCTGTAAAGAAATTTTTCCTGATATCTGACCTAAATTTCCCCTGGCGTAACTTGAGGCCATTCCCTCTCGTCCTGTCATTCATAACGTGGGAGAAGAGACTGACCCCCATCTCCCTACAACTTCCTTTCAGGTAATTGTAGAGATGCAGTGACCTGTCGCCAGTGAAGTTCTTAGTAGGTCTGCAGAGGGGCTGTGGTTCGCCCTCTGTCATCTCAAAGGAAGGGCAGGCCTCCTCTGCTTGCAAGGCTGGAGGGAAGGCAGCGTATTCCTGATTTCACACCCGTTCCCGTGACTTCAGCTCTTGTCCTACATGAAGCAAATGATGCTTTGCCACCTTGCCACAGTGACAAAGTTGACAGTTGGCAGTTCAAATGTGTAAAATCTGCCTCATTTGAAGGTAGAACAGTGGACGAGTTAGTGTAAGGTGCCCTGTTTGTAAAAACTGACTTTTATTTTTTGTTATTTCATCTCTTTGAGCAACCTGGTGTAGTGGAAGGTGTCCCTGCCCATGGCAGGGGGGTTGGAACTAGATGATCTTTGAGGTCCCTTCCAACCCAAACCATTCTATGATTTACTTGAGATCTTGAGGAGGAGCCTAAGGTGGGCTTTTTCTGTTGCACACCAGGTGGATAACACCAAGTTTACAATGGAGTGCGTAGAGCCTGCCATCCACGTCTACGAGCTTCACGAGAACAAGTGGAGGTGCAAGGACCCGCACGTGTGAGTAAACGTCGGAGTTTGTTTGTGTTTGGGTAGGAAGGAAAAACAGGTTGCCTGTTAAGGGCAAAACTTTGTGATGAGTGACGTTGTGAGGGCGGTGGGTGTAGCTGACGGTGCTTTTAACGCCGTTTTTTGCTCTGGTGAGAGGGAACAGCTGCCTTCTGGCTTCGTGACCACGTTGCGGAGAGTGCGGCTTAATTTCCAGAGTGGAGGAGGTGGTGGAGAGTTTCTTTGTGATTCCTTTTAATTCCTGGTTGTTTTACGTCCTAGTGATTTTTGTGAAGATTGGACCGAAGCCCAGAGGATCGCTGCATCTCTCTTGGACAGCAAGTCGTACGAGACGCTTGTAGATTTTGATAATCATCTGGATGATATCCGGAATGACTGGACAAACCCGGAGATCAACAAAGCTGTCCTCCACCTGTGTTAGAGGTGTTCCTACTGACTAATTGACGGGCATTCCCACTCTGTACTGAAGAGAGAAAAATGCTATTTTTGAATGTAAATAGAATAATATTCAGTACCTTGTGTGGAAACCCGACTGATTAAAAAAAGGAGTGGCATGTCACGTTGCAGAGTGATGTGTCCGTAAGCCATTGAATCTTTTTGGTGAGATTCCTTGGAAGAGCTGCGGACTGTCGGTTGCAGCTGTCCTGGTGGACACCGTCCCAGTTGTAGTGAATGTTGCTATTCCTTCGAAACCACAACTACTTCTGCTTGTCCCTACTCTTCGTATGACAAAGTTTTGACTAAGCTTTTCTAATCTTTAGAGAGATTACTTTTTAACAATTTATGGAAATACCTTTCAAAACAAATCAGCCTTGTCCTCAGATGAGAAATTTGAAGGTCAAATACATAAAATGGAAGGTTAACGGTTTCATTTGGCCTGGTTTGGAAATGTCATTCTGTCGGCACAGTAAAATACAAACTGCTGAGGACCATGTACCGTGCTCCCGTGTCACCTGTTTTGCAGTGGTTTAGCATGACACAGCTACAGAGAACATGTTAGAGCAGAGTTCCCAGTGATTCCTGCTCTCTCTGGGCACACAACCACAGTTACTCGTGTAACGAGTTGTAAAGGGTCTGGAAGCGGAATGATGAGTTTGAGTGGCAGTTCTGAAACAGTCTGAATCTACAAAAGAAGAGGAGAGTGAAATACCTTACTAATTTTACGCCGTCTCTTGGGGTTTTATAAACAGATCTCGTTTTCAGCTCGTTCGTACAGTGTCCATTTAAGTGGGTCTGAAGTGTATCCCTCCAAATCGAAGGCAAGCAATCGGAGTATGTGGAATCAAGGAGCCTATAGTCTGGTTCAGCTTCTGTCTTTCTAATTAATGTTTGTTTCCAAGGATAAGTTTGCTGGACAAGGAAGCTTTATAACAGACTAGTACAGTTCTTTTGAGGTCTTGTTGCCTTACTCCTTGCGGCTGGTTGGCAGACTGTCGTTAAGCATAGCCTCAACCTGTAACAGTTTCTCTAGATTTCCTTCTCTTCCCACCCAAAAATGTTTTTACAAGGAAGATCCAAATGTCCACCAAATGACTGGCTTTGCTCCAAGTTCCTGCTTTTTCCGTGGTGTTCTTATTTTAAAACGTGAGGGATAAGATTGTCAAAACCTCTTGGTTGACCTCCGCTTGTATTTAAATAAGCACGAGTTTTACTCTTAGTCTTAATGAGAGACAGGGTAAATCTAGAGCCCTCTTCTGTAGCAGTGAGTAGAATCAGGATGCCTCCAGTTCAGATTCCACAAAGCCACCAGGTAAGGTCTGAGGTTCAGCTCCCTGTCCGAGAAGGAGCTGAAGATTTGACCAGTTCATTTTGTCTCCCTGCTATGCAGTAGTCGGGTGTGATGGGCATTCCAGAAGGGATTGGCACCTAGTCAAGAGCTTTTCCTAAGCGTGAGTCAGCTACACTTGCAGGAGAGGAGAATGTTTTCACCTGTTCAATGAAAACACATACCTAGCTCACAAGTGGTGAGATAAAACATGTTCCAGTGGCTGTTTTACTACACATCCACGGCCGTATGAAAAAATTATCCTGGAAACAGCAATGCTCTGGCAACACGTGTTCGGAGCAGGCGCTGCGAGTCACACACGCTGCAGGAAAAGGACATGCAGGAAGAGTTGTGTTAACTCCCTTCAAACGCTCATAAAATCTCACCTGTTGTTCCAGAGGCAGATGTTATCTTAGCAGGATGTGTTAGGTTGTAGTTTTATGTTGTAGTTAGATGAGATTGTGTCACCTGAGCCACAGGAAATGGGATTTCTTACTCTTTGTAGTAGATCTCATCATCAAGCTTTGGTGGGGTATATGCAAATTCAGTCTAATCTTCCCCCCTCATCCTCATCGTGGTAGGACAAAGCAAAATGTGTATCATTAGTTTGGAACCTGATAGAAACGCTCTCTGCGACTAATGTGGAGGTTGAGACAGTTGCTGGAAGGGGAGCAGTTTTTAATGCTTTCTCTTT